ATCATCTATCTATCTATCTATCTATCTATCTGTCTGTCTGTCTATCTGTCTGTCTATCTATCTATCTATCTATCATTCATTCATTTTTTCAGTTTAAGTTATTTCAGTACTTCAACTTGAATTTGATAAATTAGAGATGAAACTGAAATAAATTTAGTTTAAGTTTTCTTATATTTTATTTTATTCCACTTTAAGTTGATTTTATTTGAAGTATTTCATATTTTTAGTTGTTTTAGTTAGTTTTTGTTAACTATAATAATTATGCCTTGAGCACGAGTTTTATATGTTGTGTTTTTCTGCATTTTTAAAATGTATATCTATTTAGCTTTTAATTTATTAATAGCTTTTATTTAATTTTCATTTGTTATTTTAATACTTCAACTTGAAAAAAATAGAGATGTTGACTGGGCAACTAACTGAAATTAATTTAGTTTACGTTTCCTTACATTAAGTTCACTTTACATTTATTTTATTTGAAGTAACAGAAACGTTTTTTTGATGGTTTTAGTTGTAGTTTTCATTTTGGTAAACTATAACCATGCCTTGAGCATAATAGCTAAACTGTAAAACTGCCAACTCTGTTACCATCAGCCCTGAAATGCATTAGTTATGGACTGACTTATATTAATATTGATCAGTGTAGCTTGAGATGCACAATGCAATTTACCTAGTGGAAACTGGATATTTACAACCCATGCCGTGGCTTGCCACAGCAAGAACAGCAAAATAAAGAGAGAAACCTTTCCTTCTAAACGGTGTCATGATCCCACAACACCCACTGAAGAGTCAAACTGGACGTGAAACTAAACCAGACCAAAGAAGTGACATTATCTACAATGAAACCTAGCAAAAGAAAAAATCACATAAAAAAATGTAGAAAACCCTTGTTCAAAAGGGCATCTGTATCGTAGAATGACCCGCTTTTATCTTGTGTTTTTTGGGGGAGCGTTACTGGCCGAGATGGCCTATGGGACAGTGAGGGAGGGGCTGATCAGAGGAGAGAGGAGGCCTGGAGGACTGTCACATGATACGACAGAGGAGGGGATCTGGGAATCTGTTGAAAGATTAAAAACTCTCTGATCTGACAGAGCGAGAAGGGAGAGAGGAAAAGAGACATTGACAACAGACAGAAATACGGTTCCCTCACTGATTGAGTCACTCACACAGGTGACCAAAGAAAACAGAGGTGATGAGAAAGGGGAAAAGAAATAAAGTGAGAGCAGATGTGACAAAACAAAAAGAGAATTCAAGAATTTAAAAACACATTCAATTTTCCCACAGAGACACTGATTTTTTTCCAATGATTATTTATAAAGCTTTCAAAACAAAACTACTCCGAGATGTAATCGAGTTGGTCTTCCTATACTATCTAACTATTTATGTGTGTTAATATTTTCACTGGAGAAAGCCATATTATGGATTTTGAACTCGTATTTTAGCCGGAAGCAACAGTTTGAAGTAAAAATGTCTTAATGATGGATTTGTTTCACTTCACTTTTCACTTTCACTTCACAAGTGGTGTGGATTATTGTGAGGTTTTTATCAGCTGTTTGGACTCTGATTCTGACGGCACCCATTCACTGCAGAGCAAGTGATGAAATGCTACATTTCTCCAAATCTGTTCAGATGAAGAAACAAACTCATCTACATCTTAAATGGTCAGAGGGGGAGAAAAACGTTCAGTTTTGTTGTTCATTTCTTCATTAAAAAATCTAAGTAACTTTGTTTTTTCTTCTCCTTTTACTTTTTTATTTCAAATCAAAGATGTTTGGCATGATTCAAGGCTCTTTAATAAAGAATTTCATGAAATCTCTGCAGAAAATGAAAGGGCAAAATGACCTCGAGTGTTGCACTCTATTAAATAAGCAGAGGAACATGCCAAAAGAACAAGAGATGACTATATAAGTGAGATGAAAAGGAGACATGCACTCTGTTCCTAGTGAGCTGCCTTGTATTTTGGAGAGCTTTTAAAAAACAGCAACTTAAATATGAATCAGAACCATGAATCAAAAAAACATACTATACAAAAATATTTAGAAAAGTATTATTATTATTCTTATTAGGCCATAAAATGCTGTTTCGGTAGGAAGCTCACTAGGTTTTTGAGCAGAGCTATAGAGGACAAGAGGAGGTTGACAACCACTAAAGACAAATTACCATTCTTCCCCTTCAGGATGCAAAGATGCAGACCAAACAGGCAGCAGGCAGAAAAGGAAAGATTAAAGAGAGGGAAAGAAGAAAAGAAAAATAAAGACAAGACGACAAATGAGACGGCAGTTGTATGCACTGGCGACTACAGAGAACACATTACTGATGACAGAGCAAAAGTTTCAATTAAAACTTCAGGACATTTTACTCAGTTGGACATGATATTGACACTTACATATTGATTGGTACTAATTGCAGGTTTGATTCTTGCTTTTGGGGCTTTTATGGATTCAAAAATAGCTGAAAGATGCATTGTTTGAGTTTGGTTGAAAACAGTGAAAAATGTGAAATATCACAATGAGATCCAAGTAGTACACAGAGTTGAAAATCCACTCTGTTTTTGAGTTATCGGCATCTTACCAGACGGGGTCCTCATTGACGGCATCGTCGTACCAGAGGATATAGAGACAGAACAGCCCCACAATTAACGCATGGACAGTGGACACCAGCCTGAGGACATAAAAACAGCTCAGTAATCATCAAAGTTTGGTGCTCATTGTCATTCTTCCTGTCATTTCAGGGTCTGTACAGTTGCCTATTCAGTTCAATGATTCAATTCCAATGCATGAATCTGAATTTTGACATGCTGGAACCAAGTACACACTTATAAGTACTACCCTAACCCTAACCCTACAATCTATACTTATAGGAATTAGAGAGAGGAATATCACATAGATAACATGATGCTGACACAGTAGGAGATGGTATCTACAGTAGATAGCGGACAGTGAATGAACTGTGATTTGGTGTGCATGTGTCTGAGTGTGTTTGTGGACTGTAGACTTTCATATCTGTTATTTGCACAGTTAGAAACCCCCTATAAGACACTTCTCACTATTTGACAGGACACAAACCAAAAGGCCAAATATTTTATGAAAACCAACAATCTAATCTTTTGTAATCGAGGAAATGCTTTGCTATCACTTTACCTGATTACATCAAATGAACAATACAGACTTTTTTCATCTCTTGATAGTGTGAAAAATGTTTCATAATTTAGTTTTATACAGTATCCATGAACTAATTCAAAAACAGATAAGCAAAATTGTGCAAAATGATTTGCACTAAAAAAAACAAACATAGTCGAATTACAAGCATATTATTGTAGCATTTTTAAAAATCAGGGTTTGTTAAACTTTCAGGAAATTAAAGTGGGCTTTATAGGGAAAGAAAGAAATGCTGCAACTGCGTTTTTACAGACAGTGCAATAAATCAATTCTTCTGGTTCTGTGCTCATATTATAGGGTTAAAGCATTTCGATTTGCTAACAGAATATCATATATGTTTCATTCACTATGTCATGACTTTTCAAACAATGTAGGATGTCAAAACAACAATAGGTGGTATTCAGCATATTCTAAAAACAGTTTTAACTTGTGTGGTTAACCAAGTATTGTTCAGAGACCTATCTCTTCCTAACTAAGTGCTGTAAGGTCAAAGTTAACCAGGTTCAGTAGATTACAAAGAGGAAAGGCGATTAGACCAAACCGCCATTCACCTACATTTCACAATACAGTACAGTACAGAGATCACTTGATCTCACTCATGTTGGGCTACATTTATGTACGACAACATTATGAATGATGTTTGAAGCTTGTTTGTACTTCTGAAGTTCTTAAGAATCTTAAATGATCTCTACGTTTCTTTAAAGTCCTTTGCAATATTATTTTCTTCAAAAAACCTAAATCCTTAGATCAGAATTAATAACACTTTGGGGATAATTCACCCAAAAGGGATAATTCACCCAAAAATGACAATTCTGTCATCATTTACTCACCCTGATGTTGATTCAAACCCGTATAAGTTTCTTTCTTCTGCTGAGCACAAAAGAAGATATTTTGAAGAATGTGTGCAAAAACATTTCTTCATTAAAAAATCTAAGTAACTTTGTTTTTTCTTCTCCTTTTACTTTTTTATTTCAAATCAAAGATGTTTGGCATGATTCAAGGCTCTTTAATAAAGAATTTCATGAAATCTCTGCAGAAAATGAAAGGGCAAAATGACCTCGAGTGTTGCACTCTATTAAATAAGCAGAGGAACATGCCAAAAGAACAAGAGATGACTATATAAGTGAGATGAAAAGGAGACATGCACTCTGTTCCTAGTGAGCTGCCTTGTATTTTGGAGAGCTTTTAAAAAACAGCAACTTAAATATGAATCAGAACCATGAATCAAAAAAACATACTATACAAAAATATTTAGAAAAGTATTATTATTATTCTTATTAGGCCATAAAATGCTGTTTCGGTAGGAAGCTCACTAGGTTTTTGAGCAGAGCTATAGAGGACAAGAGGAGGTTGACAACCACTAAAGACAAATTACCATTCTTCCCCTTCAGGATGCAAAGATGCAGACCAAACAGGCAGCAGGCAGAAAAGGAAAGATTAAAGAGAGGGAAAGAAGAAAAGAAAAATAAAGACAAGACGACAAATGAGACGGCAGTTGTATGCACTGGCGACTACAGAGAACACATTACTGATGACAGAGCAAAAGTTTCAATTAAAACTTCAGGACATTTTACTCAGTTGGACATGATATTGACACTTACATATTGATTGGTACTAATTGCAGGTTTGATTCTTGCTTTTGGGGCTTTTATGGATTCAAAAATAGCTGAAAGATGCATTGTTTGAGTTTGGTTGAAAACAGTGAAAAATGTGAAATATCACAATGAGATCCAAGTAGTACACAGAGTTGAAAATCCACTCTGTTTTTGAGTTATCGGCATCTTACCAGACGGGGTCCTCATTGACGGCATCGTCGTACCAGAGGATATAGAGACAGAACAGCCCCACAATTAACGCATGGACAGTGGACACCAGCCTGAGGACATAAAAACAGCTCAGTAATCATCAAAGTTTGGTGCTCATTGTCATTCTTCCTGTCATTTCAGGGTCTGTACAGTTGCCTATTCAGTTCAATGATTCAATTCCAATGCATGAATCTGAATTTTGACATGCTGGAACCAAGTACACACTTATAAGTACTACCCTAACCCTAACCCTACAATCTATACTTATAGGAATTAGAGAGAGGAATATCACATAGATAACATGATGCTGACACAGTAGGAGATGGTATCTACAGTAGATAGCGGACAGTGAATGAACTGTGATTTGGTGTGCATGTGTCTGAGTGTGTTTGTGGACTGTAGACTTTCATATCTGTTATTTGCACAGTTAGAAACCCCCTATAAGACACTTCTCACTATTTGACAGGACACAAACCAAAAGGCCAAATATTTTATGAAAACCAACAATCTAATCTTTTGTAATCGGGGAAATGCTTTGCTATCACTTTACCTGATTACATCAAATGAACAATACAGACTTTTTTCATCTCTTGATAGTGTGAAAAATGTTTCATAATTTAGTTTTATACAGTATCCATGAACTAATTCAAAAACAGATAAGCAAAATTGTGCAAAATGATTTGCACTAAAAAAAACAAACATAGTCGAATTACAAGCATATTATTGTAGCATTTTTAAAAATCAGGGTTTGTTAAACTTTCAGGAAATTAAAGTGGGCTTTATAGGGAAAGAAAGAAATGCTGCAACTGCGTTTTTACAGACAGTGCAATAAATCAATTCTTCTGGTTCTGTGCTCATATTATAGGGTTAAAGCATTTCGATTTGCTAACAGAATATCATATATGTTTCATTCACTATGTCATGACTTTTCAAACAATGTAGGATGTCAAAACAACAATAGGTGGTATTCAGCATATTCTAAAAACAGTTTTAACTTGTGTGGTTAACCAAGTATTGTTCAGAGACCTATCTCTTCCTAACTAAGTGCTGTAAGGTCAAAGTTAACCAGGTTCAGTAGATTACAAAGAGGAAAGGCGATTAGACCAAACCGCCATTCACCTACATTTCACAATACAGTACAGTACAGAGATCACTTGATCTCACTCATGTTGGGCTACATTTATGTACGACAACATTATGAATGATGTTTGAAGCTTGTTTGTACTTCTGAAGTTCTTAAGAATCTTAAATGATCTCTACGTTTCTTTAAAGTCCTTTGCAATATTATTTTCTTCAAAAAACCTAAATCCTTAGATCAGAATTAATAACACTTTGGGGATAATTCACCCAAAAGGGATAATTCACCCAAAAATGACAATTCTGTCATCATTTACTCACCCTGATGTTGATTCAAACCCGTATAAGTTTCTTTCTTCTGCTGAGCACAAAAGAAGATATTTTGAAGAATGTGTGCAAAAAAAAAAAAAAAAAAAAAAAAAAAAAAAAAAAAAAAAAAAAAAAAAAAAAAAAAAAAAAAAAAAAATTCAGTTGCTGGTAGCCATTGGCTTCCATAGCATTTTTTCCTTACAATGGAAGTCGATGGCTACCGTCGATTATTTGGTTAGCAACATTCCATCTTTTTTGATGTTCCACACAAGAAAGAAACTCATACAGCTTTATTACAACCTGAGGGCAAATTATGACAAAATGTAATGTTTTAGGTGAAGTATCTCTTTAAAGTTGTCTAAATGCCTAGAATCCAATCTAAGGTCTTAAAGGTAAAATGTTTAATTCATTTATTGGGCTGTTTTAAATATAAGCATTAGAACATTACTACTTAACAAAAGCTTAATAATTTGACAAATATACCTTTACGATTTACCAGTGTAAAGTTTTGAATTTGACCTTGTGCGCAGGATAGTATCCGACAACTTAAATTTGATTATACTTTTAATACTATAACTTTATCCTTAATAAAAACGTACATATTTAAGAAAAGTTAAAGAATATTTAATATTTGAGAACTTAGAAGCACTTAAGAACATTCTTTAGAATTTAGAATCTTTAGAATTTCAGCACTTTTTTTCTTTAATTTTCACGAATCCAGCACCAATTGCTCTTTGCTTCACACATGGACCCAGTAGCATTATCAACACGGCTATACATGCATATTTCCTCGAAATGTGACTTCATTGTCCCTGCTTTAGTCTATACCTGTGCATGTTTGATGATTATTTATACATCCATACATATCTAGCTGCCAGTCTATTTCTATTTGTACTGTTTACCCATCCATCCATGCATGCATTTCTACCCACATTTCTATTAGAGCAGTGCTGAGTTATATGAGGCTGATACCTGGAGTTCCAGTCGTTGAGTTTGTTTGGAGGAAGTTTCCCATAACCCTGTGTGAAGTTGGAAGACAGAACCGGACTGACGCATGAGAAGAATAGCTGGAACCCCACGAAGCTGCCGGCCACCACATACACCTCTCTCATATCCATCTCTCACCTGCACAAGAGACATCAAAACACACGCCGTCACATCTGTGCTCTTACCTGCGCTTATTCTGCAAACTCTTACCAGTCCAGAGCACAGCAACTGACCCTTCATTCATTTCACAAAGACTACATGTTATGCATTAATCAGTTTGTGAGTAAAGAAGTAGAGAGACAAAGTAAGTATTTAAACATACAATACAGTGAATGAAGTCATTGTTTTCAAATGTTCAAAGAAGATTAACACCGTGGGTAAGAGTGACGGAGAATGTGAGCGAAGGAACGAGAAAGACAAATTTTAATCACTGTAATAATTACTTACTTTTTTTGAAAAAATTTATTTTGGTTTCTGTTTGCACTAAAAAAGGCATAGCAATTTGTTTGTCAGATTTTCAAAAGGGAAAAGAGAACAAATAGCTTAAAACTTTTACACACATCTACATTTACATACAGTATTTAGCAGAATTTTATCTAGATCCACGAAACATTCTTAAGAATACAATTATCCCTAAATGCCATTTTCCTCTTATTTCCAAATAAGAAAATTCCAAAAATACAAATGCTTTTTTCTTTTTTCTTAAAATTGTTCTTAAAACAAAACTTCAAAATCATTATAAATAAAGTTTTGATAAGCTCATATTTGTTTAAAATCAATTTAAATACAACTTGTTTTAAAGGTAAAATGTTAAATTTATTGTGTAGTTTCAAATATTGTGCATTACAACACAAGACAATTACCCTGTGACAGTTAAAGTCATTAAATAAACACATTTCATGCATTTTACAATCAATTTAAAACTACAAAAGTTAAGAGATTGCAGCATCAAGATTTACCATTGTGTAATGTTTTGAATTGTTTGTATTAAACAATGCAACCTCATGTGCAGGGTAGTATAAAATCAGACAATTTCTATTATGCTGTTAAGAATATAATTTTATTCCTAAGAAATTAAAATGTTCTTAGGAAAATATTTGAGAGAACAGACAGCTTATTCACACATTTGTGAAACAAAGCAAACAAAGAAACAAGCACAAACATCTCATATCTCAGGTCAGTCTACAAATCTCAGAAAAATGAGCACCAGAGGCAAGAGGAATGTAAAAAGTGTGTGTCTCATTATAGAGTGGGTCACTGACCCCCAGCATGCTGAAGGGTCATACTGAGTCATCTGGTATTTTTCAAGCTGTATCACTGTATCAAGCTATAACAAACACACACACTGCAGAACTACTACACCGTGCATCAATGTCTCTGCAATAAAACATTCCTTCAACATATTTCATCTATCAATAAATCGTATTTTAACCTAAAGCAACCAAAAATAAAACACATTTTTTCATACAGTAATGCATTATTTTTAGTATTGAACGCATGATTTTCCAAATACGTTGGATTCTTCCACACAAATGTCTGGCTGTTCTTTTCAAATTCTTATGCATGGTGCGAACTGTACGCATTTACTTGAACTTCCAGAAGAGAGGCTGAAGAATCCATTGCGAAACCCCTCATGATCGGGTCTAATACACAAACAATGGGCTCAAGTGCACTAATCACACCAAAAATGTGAGTAAACATGTAGCTGTATACTTTATTAAAGGGGTCATATGATGCGATTTCAATTTTTCCTTTCTCTTTGGAGTGTTACAAGCTCTTGGTGCATAAAGAAGATCTGTAAAGTTGTAAAGACTAAAGTCTCAAATCCAAAGAGATATTCTTTATAAAAGTTAAGAGTCAGCCACGCCTACCTAAAACGGCTCGTTCTAACACGTGAAGCGGAGTCCAGCCCGGGGTCGCCACATGTGGTTGCCGCAAGCCCGCACGCCGCTCCTTCGTCAAATCCGCCGGCCACGCCGTTCTCAAGCCCGCCGGGCTCCGCTAATGTTCTTTTTAGCAACATCATATGACCCCTTTAAGATTAAACTAACAAAGGTTTAAATCATTTACCCATGTACCGACAATAGGACATTGATTAAAGCGGAGCAGATTGGGTCATGATGAGATCTGCACAATGTCTTTCTTTAATCTAGTAACCAGCCTCCTGTTGCCCCAAGTTAACGCTTCCATTGTAAATCTATTTACAGACTAAAAAAGGTGACTGGCAACATGTGATCTCCTGTGAAGAGGGCACGTATGGAGCACATTCTGTAGCAGTGCCGCAAACGGAAGAGAGGGAACGTGCTTCAGGTAACCTTTCAACGACAAACAATCGACCACGAAACCCCTCATGATCGGGTCTAATACACAAACAATGGGCTCAAGTGCACTAATCACACCAAAAATGTGAGTAAACATGTAGCTGTATACTTTATTAAAGGGGTCATATGATGCGATTTCAATTTTTCCTTTCTCTTTGGAGTGTTACAAGCTCTTGGTGTAAAAAAAGTAAAATGTACAGGTATAATTTTCTGCCAAATTACTAATTGATACAGTTATTGTGCCCTATTTTTTTTACAGATTATATATATATATATATATATATAATCACACAAATATTTGTGATGTAGGCTGTTTTCATTTTCGCATGATAGTCTATTTTAAGAAGCTGTATGACAAGAAACGTGTGACAAAGAAAAAAATAAAAAAAACAGCTATCATACGAAATTATGCGGAAGCTTGCTCCACTGAACAAGTTCAGTTTCGCCTGAACAACAATGCAACGATTACCGATTTTAAATTTGAATTCTTTATTCACGAATTCTCTGAAACGTAAAAGAGAGCGGCTGCGTCATAATACTCCGGTACGTCATAATGCGCTGCATAATAATGCGTAACCGTCCCCGATTCTCAAACTCGCGAACAATAACAAAACGTGCACGCAGTGAATCCAGCCGCTTTAACGCAAGAAAATGTGTAGCATGTGCAGTGTACAAGAAAATTCTGCATTTATAAGTGACTTGAATGAGTGTCCAAACCAACTCCTGCGCGCTAAACTTTTCTATTCATCTGTCGCCGTAACAATGGCCATGCAAATAATGCTAGTGTGACAAGTGCAGAGAGCGATGCTACTGTACACACACGCTTTGCGAATGACATTTACAGTGTCCATTACCTGATAAGAGTCTCATAGGTCTGTGTAAACGTGTCCAGATCCTGTTGTCTGCTTTCTTCTGTCCACGAACCCAGTTTTATCTGGATGGCGACGGCTAGCGAGCGCTTTGCCCACTCGCTGTCTTCAAACCCGCACGTCGTCTGTGGCGTACTGGCGAATAAACCTGCACTTCTGGAGCGAGGCCATTTCCCACCTTTAAAAAACACGCAAGGATTTCGTAAAGCTCCACGGATCCCGCTGCAGCAAACACTGCATTTCTTCACCGTATTGACAGGCTCCGCGGTTACGTCAGCTCGGCCCCGCCCAGCACACACCCACTAATGAAGCCGCTCCCACTGCTCAGACATTACTGATTAACACACACCCCCTAATGAAGCCACTCCCACTGCTCAGACACTACTGATTAAACCCCACAGTCTGAGAGAATAATCTGTCTATCTATCTATAAAACATTTGTATTTCTAGTACATTTTCTGGAATATTATATGACGAGCACGTAATGCAAAAAATAAAGAAAAAAGAAAAAAGATGCATCCATTGCAATGCAAGGGAATGCATCTTTAAGATTTAACAAGCTGTTTTAAAGGAATAGTTCACCCCAAAATGTAAATTTGCTAAAAATGTCCTCACCCTTCTACCATTCCAGTCCATCAGTTAACATCTTGTGAAACTAAAAGCTGCATGTTTGTAAGAAACAAATCCATCAAGACTTTTTTTTTTTTTTTACTTCAAACCTCACTGAAGGAGTGGATTATGGACTATATTTTGTCTAGAAGTGATCGTTTAAAGTTAAAACTGTACGAAATGTACGAAAGTTACATGCAGGTTTTCACTTCACAAGACATTAATTGCTGAATCTATTTACAGACTAAAAAAGGTGACTGGCAACATGTGATCTCCTGTGAAGAGGGCACGTATGGAGCACATTCTGTAGCAGTGCCGCAAACGGAAGAGAGGGAACGTGCTTCAGGTAACCTTTCAACGACAAACAATCGACCACCACATTACAGACTTTCATGGCTGGTCACATGGCTGGAAATTAATACGATTTGGGAATAATGCACAAATGAATGTCAATTCCATAACATGATGATCCACTAGATGATATTTCGATAACAACATATAAGTGCATGCATATAAGTGTATATGGCTTATTCCTAAACTTTTGATATTTTCACCTCAGGCCAATCACTATGAAGTCTGAACATCAGCTGAAGCTTGACTTTGATAAATGTGTCTCAAGGAAGCAGGTGTGTGGTTGACTGGTATCTATTTATCACTTCACACCTGTGCACTATGATGAGTGAAAGGTTAAATGTCAGCAAGTCATTATACTGAACATGACACGGTGGAAGAAAATCCACGTGCCAAAATACCTGGATTCCTTGGACTTGCCAACACAACAAGTTTGCAGTTTATTTTTGCGCATAAAAATAATAAGTAATAGACTGAGCTCTCAAATAATAACAACTTATGTGATGATATCTAATAGATCATGATCTAAAAATGTAATTTCTGATCTTTAAAGTGTCACTGTGCTGTCCACACAGACACACACAAAAAAACTCTATGTAGTGTTTTATCTCTTTGTAAAAATTGAAAAAAAAAAACTTAAATATAGACTTACATAGTATATAAATGTATATAGTACATATTTTATCAATGTTATTTTTAAGAAAAAAAGCATATATATAATTGTTTAAATTATATACACTATGTAAAAAAAGTAAAATGTACAGGTATAATTTTCTGCCAAATTACTAATTGATACAGTTATTGTGCCCTATTTTTTTTACAGATTATATATATATATATATATATATAATCACACAAATATTTGTGATGTAGGCTGTTTTCATTTTCGCATGATAGTCTATTTTAAGAAGCTGTATGACAAGAAACGTGTGACAAAGAAAAAAATAAAAAAAACAGCTATCATACGAAATTATGCGGAAGCTTGCTCCACTGAACAAGTTCAGTTTCGCCTGAACAACAATGCAACGATTACCGATTTTAAATTTGAATTCTTTATTCACGAATTCTCTGAAACGTAAAAGAGAGCGGCTGCGTCATAATACTCCGGTACGTCATAATGCGCTGCATAATAATGCGTAACCGTCCCCGATTCTCAAACTCGCGAACAATAACAAAACGAGCACGCAGTGAATCCAGCCGCTTTAACGCAAGAAAATGTGTAGCATGTGCAGTGTACAAGAAAATTCTGCATTTATAAGTGACTTGAATGAGTGTCCAAACCAACTCCTGCGCGCTAAACTTTTCTATTCATCTGTCGCCGTAACAATGGCCATGCAAATAATGCTAGTGTGACAAGTGCAGAGAGCGATGCTACTGTACACACACGCTTTGCGAATGACATTTACAGTGTCCATTACCTGATAAGAGTCTCATAGGTCTGTGTAAACGTGTCCAGATCCTGTTGTCTGCTTTCTTCTGTCCACGAACCCAGTTTTATCTGGATGGCGACGGCTAGCGAGCGCTTTGCCCACTCGCTGTCTTCAAACCCGCACGTCGTCTGTGGCGTACTGGCGAATAAACCTGCACTTCTGGAGCGAGGCCATTTCCCACCTTTAAAAAACACGCAAGGATTTCGTAAAGCTCCACGGATCCCGCTGCAGCAAACACTGCATTTCTTCACCGTATTGACAGGCTCCGCGGTTACGTCAGCTCGGCCCCGCCCAGCACACACCCCCTAATGAAGCCGCTCCCACTGCTCAGACATTACTGATTAACACACACCCCCTAATGAAGCCGCTCCCACTGCTCAGACATTACTGATTAACACACACCCCCTAATGAAGCCGCTCCCACTGCTCAGACATTACTGATTAACACACACCCCCTAATGAAGCCACTCCCACTGCTCAGACATTACTGATTAACACACACACCCTAATGAAGCCGCTCCCACTGCTCAGACATTACTGATTAACACACACACCCTAATGAAGCCGCTCCCACTGCTCAGACATTACTGATTAACACACACACCCTAATGAAGCCACTCCCACTGCTCAGACACTACTGATTAAACCCCACAGTCTGAGAGAATAATCTGTCTATCTATCTATAAAACATTTGTATTTCTAGTACATTTTCTGGAATATTATATGACGAGCACGTAATGCTAAAAATTTCCTCACCCTTCTACCACTCCAGTCCATCAGTTAACATCTTGTGAAACTAAAAGCTGCATGTTTGTAAGAAACAAATCCATCAAGACTTTTTTTTTTTACTTCAAACCATTGCTTCTGGCTAAAATACGTCATCTCTCCATTGCTTTCTCCAGCACCGTTTATGAGCAAAAACAGTTTTAAACAAATATGTTGGTGGGTTTTGATGTAAGAGGACAACAGGACTTTTTCACTGAAGGACACGTTACAGTGGATTATGGACTATATTTTGTCTAGAAGTGATCGTTTAAAGTTAAAACTGTACGAAAGCCTGTCCTAGGAACCAAAGTTGTTGTTCACACGGACTGATTTTACAGTGTGACACGCAGGAAGACAGTTTGGTGAATGCTCATCTCTGCACGCTTGTTTTATGTTCTGTATAATGCGTTTATGCCTTGATACCATTAATACAGATAACATTGCCAAAGAGTAAGTGGTGCAGAAGGCAATCCAAAGACTGTTCAATAAATGCATCTTTGTGAAGAATCCCTTCTCCAATCCCTGATTCTCTTACCGGAATCCTGTCTATATTTGGCCGCCTCAACCAGCGTGATATAGAGTTGTAGCATGCCTCCGCTACAAAAACATCTTGATGGATTTCTTTATTACATGCAGGTTTGCACTTCACAAGACATTAATTACTGGACTGGAGTGGTGTGGATTAATTTCTTAAAGGAGTAGTTTATCCAGAAAATAAAATGTATTCAAATTTACTCGCCCTCAGGCCATCCAAAATGTAGATGACTTTGTTTCTTCATTGCAACAGATTTGGAGAAATTTTGCATTACATCACTTGCTCGCCAATGGATCCTCTGCAGTGAATGGGTGCCGTCACATGAGTCCATAATCCATAAGAACGCTTCCTGCAGTGAAAAAGTTCATCTCCTGTTGTCCTCTCACATCAAAATCCACTAATATATTTATTTATAAATGTTTTGTACTGTTTTCTGTTGTAAACGGTGCTTGATCTGTGCAGATTTCTCTCCTGATTCAGACTTTTTCACTGGAGAAAGCCATTCTATGGATAGAGGACTCATAACTTAGCTGGAATTAACAGCTTCAAGTTAAAGGGGTCATATGATACGATTTCAATTTTTCCTTTCTCTTTGGAGTGTTACAAGCTCTTGGTGCATAAAGAAGATCTGTAAAGTTGCAAAGACTAAAGTCTCAAATCCAAAGAGATATTCTTTATAAAAGTTAAGAGTCAACCACGCTTACCTAAAACGGCTCGTTCTAACACGCCCCCACATACCTACGTCACGATCTGGGAAAATTTGCATAACGCCGCCCAAATGTTAACGCAAAGAAAGAAGGAGTAACTTTTATTCTCGCTGTAGTATTGTTGACACTGCAGCCATGTCGTGAAGACGCTGTGTGCTTCGTTGTGAAAGCGAAACTACTTTATTTGGCACACGCTTGAGGCATTCGGCCAATCACAATGCTGCACTGGATAGCTGGCCAATCACAGCTCACCTCGCTTTTTCAGACCGATGAGTTTTGTAAAAATCGACGCGTTTCAGAAAGGCGGGGCATAGAGGAGAAACAATAATGTACAGTATGTGGAAAATAATGTGTTTTTTGAACCTTAAACCGCATAAACACATTTCATTACACCAAATACTCAAAATAATGTTCTTTTTAGCAGCATCATATGACCCCTTTAAAATGCCTTAAACATTAATTTGTTTCTTACATTCATGCAGCTGTCTGATTCACAATACATTAATGATGGACTGGAGTGGTGTGGATTATTTGTGGATTATTGTGATGTTTTTATCAGTTGTTTGTGCTCTCATTCTGACGGCACCCATTCACTGCAGAGGCACCCATTCACTGTCTTGATTCAGATGTGTGTGATCAAATGGATGCCATTACATCATTGCTGAGCAATGATCAATTGCTCAGCAATGATTGATCACAAAAACAAATTTGATCACACACATCTGAATCAAGACAGTGAATGGGTGCCATCAAATGGGTGCCATTACATCATTGCTGAGCAAGTGATGTAATGCTACATTTCTTGAAATTCTGTTCTGATGAAGAAATAAACATCTTACATCTACATCTTAGATCGCCTGAGGGTCAGTACATTTTCATAAATAAATTTTTTTGGGTGAACTATTCCTTTAATACACTTTCTTGCTCATTATTATGAATGATTCATCAGTGCATGTTCCTCCAACAGAAAATGATGTGTGTCTTAATTGTTCATCAAAATGTAAAACCTCGCTTCACTACTGAAACAACTTTTCTTTTTGTCTTTTATCACCCAGGCAGTGCAGGCTATTGATTAATGTTAACTAGTCATCAAATAACTTTAAAATCCCACTGTACAAGGCATCCTATGCTGCTTGCAGGAATGATTTCACTGCAAGGACCTTTCATAACATCATCATTGTAAAAGGACAGCCAAAGGTTTTTACAAACTTTCCAACCAGGGTGGTGCAAAATTCAGAATTGGTTTTCTTTCAATTTACAAATGTGATTTAGAATTGAATTGGCCACACCCCACAGGAAATCAAATCAAATCTACCTATCTATCTATCTATCTATCATCTTTTGATTTCTATTTTATTTCCATTTAGTTTAGTACAAAATATGAACTTAATATAATTCTGAACATGACATCTAACATTGCCTATATGTAATTTCATAACTGTACACTCCTTAAAGGTATTCCTGGAATATTATATGAAAAGAGCATTTTATTTACAAAAGTGCCTATAAAATAAATAAATAAATAAATAGAGTTTCAAAAAACTTGAGTTACAAAAGTTCTGTTAAGCAAAATTCAATTCTTCAAATTAATTCTTCAATTCAATTCTGAATGCCGCACGACCCTGCTAGAAACACATGGTGATATGAATGTGAAAGGGTTGCTCACTATACAGGAAAGAAACTAGTTGACCTCCAGTTACCACTTTTGAAAACTTTCACAGAAATACCATCAACAATACAGATGCTGTCTTTACTGTTCTGTTGACGTCATGGGGAGCTTTTCTTGCTTTTCTCTCCTGAGAAATGAAGAATCCAATCCATACTTTGATGAAAAACTGTAAGAATGTCTCATGTCTGAAAGCCTTGTGTCTAGGGAGACAATAATGAAAAGGCCTTCATGTCAGACTGTGCATTACATCTAGCTGGTGGAAAAATCCTTGCGAGCACGAACCAGGCATTAAATATTAAAAAGAATGCTGTGGTTGATTTTTATGTGTCTGTCATTCTGTCTATCAATTCCTTACGATGCATCCAAACATTATTACAAGACCTGGTATCAAGAACATCTCCAAGTTTAGAGTTTTTTTCCTTGATGTGCACTTACAGGATGTCCAGATAGCTGATGTTGATGAGATTGTCCCAAGTGCATAGTGAATATGACTCAAAAACAAATCAATAGATAGTTTATGTATGTCATTTTTCAAAACCATACACTGTGATGACTATAAATGTAACTTAAAAACTCCATCAGTGCTAGGGTGAACATACTTCCTCTTTTTCCTGGCTGGGATTTCTAAATTGCCTAAAATGTCCAGGTTGTGGCTTTGTTTTCCTATTGGTATATTATCATACATTATATGTATATGTATTTGCATTGCTTTGATGTTCTCTGTAGATCCTGCCTTCTTGCACGCCACGATTGGCCGATTTTATACAACGCCTGCATGCTATTGGTCAAAGTACTTTTCAGTCATTACCTTCAGCAAGTATGAAAACAATAGGAAAACAAAGCCAAAACCCAGACATTTTACGCAATTTATAAACACGTCTGGGAAAAAGAGGACGTATGGTCACCCTAATGAACAAAAAGGAACAAAACAGACATGCCTTTAACCAAAATGCCAAAAACAACAAAACAAAACATGTATTTACATATGAACTGACACTGCAGTAAAAATTGGAGCCAGAGTTCTGAATTTCAGCCAAAAGCTGATCAAGACTTCTTCATCGGTTCCCCAGGAAGTAGGTCGGGTTGGTTTTGAGAGGTCTGAACAGGTGCGAATCCTCCACCCACAGTCCAAACAAACTCTCTGGCAAAAGAGAGACGCCTACCTGTGATTTCTGGCTTTCGTGCAGGCGTTCGGGATCTCCGAGCAGGCTCTCTAAAAGTGTGTCTCGTGGTTTGTTTGCGCGGTTTGTGGAGGCCCTATTGGCAGCATGGAGGAATATGGAGGATGAGGGGTTGGAGGTGAGGAAATCTAGACCTGCGTCGAGTAGGAGCGGTGCAGAGCGGTGGAGCGTCCCACGGAGTGGGCGGCGCAGTGGCGCGCGTGCTGGGACGGCTGGTCTAGACTTCGCTGGTAATGGAGCGAGACGGTATGAGGACATCGGGGGGGACGGGGAACCGATGAGGCTGATGGTCATGTGATCTCAGTGAATGGAGATCCCCTTGGAGTCTGTAAGGGGGGGGAGAGAGAGAGTGTGAGGGGAGAGAGAGAGAAAGGATGAGAAACCAAGACTGGAAAGTGGAAACTGTGTTCGGATAGAATAAAATTAGTGATGCACCAAAATTAATTTTTTAACTACACACCAAAAACTGAAATTAAAACGGATTCAACAAGTTAATACAAACATTCAAATAGTTCAACTTAAATCAACTTTTTAATAATACTGTTATTTTTCTACTATGATCTACTACAATTTTGATGAAATATAATCATTTATACGATGGCTGTAATAACAACTGGTTTTCATGACAGATTTATTTAAACATACATTAATGAAGATATCATGAAAAAGTTGCGAGAATACAGTGAATATGTAATATAGTGCATATATTTATTAAAATTTTCCTCTCTAGAGTTATTTTTCTAGCTAATTGTCGAGTTTATTGTAATTGAATGGCTTTTCTGAGGTAAATGTGCCACGATGAACGTGATGCCTATAGTGATCTGTAACAACTTTTTCTCTCTTAATTCTAACTTTTTTTCCCGCAATTCTGACATTTTTGAAATTCTGAGAAAAAAGTCAGAATTTCGATAAAAATTCACAACTGTGAGACAAAAAGTCGCAATAAATGTTTACTTTTTATTCACAATTCTCACTTTTTTTCTTGCAATTTCGAGTTGATATTTCACAATTAAGATTTTTCTTTTCAGAATTGCAAGTTTATATCTCGCAATCTAGACTTTTTTCCTCAGAATTTCAAAAATGTCAGAATTGCGAAAAAAAGTTAGAATTAAGAGAGAAAAAGTTGCAATTACTTTTTTAAAATTCTGTGCTGGGAAAAAAGTCTGAATTGTTATAGAAAAATGCGCAATTTACCTTAAAAAATAAAATAAAAATCCATGTCAAGAAAATATACGTGGCGAGAAAAAAAGTCAAAATTGTGAGAGAAAAGGTCTCAATTACATTTTTTATATTTTTAATCTGTGGCGGAAATGTGGCTTCCATAACGTGTTCACGAAATAGATGTTGACAATCAAAATGTGACATAGTACATTAAACATCACTGTAACGGTCAATGATTTTGGCCCTCCATTTGGTTGCCAAAATTTCGGTGCATCACTAAATAAAATGTAAGACTGAGGGAGAAAAGGGATGACTGTATGGTCGAGGTGACAAAGTGTGGAAAAGAAGGCAAAGTAGTTTCAAAAGTGAGGAGGATGAGGGTGGCCTACGAAGGGAAACTCACACTGCGGAAATTTTTCCCAGAATGAACCATCTAATGGCCTTTCGTCTTTGAAGTTCCACATGCTACACAGTCCATATTCTTTGTCGTGAAGGTACATCTGCTTTAGAGATGTTAAATTCCCATCAACCCACTGATGGATCAATGAGTTAATGGCCCTAAACATTCTGCTGCTTCTCAGTTACTCTATTATAAAAGTAATGTAACGTCTCTTGGGGATAAACAAGGAGCAGATCAATCCTCCAGAGCGTCAGTGGGTTTGCAGGGTGCTGTGGTTGGTGTTTGGGTTGTGCAGGTTGGACATGCTAGTAAAGGGAGAAGGGGGGCCGGGTGGGTCTTGGGAGTCACATTAGGGTCCACTGGGTTAAACACAGAAGGACAGGGTGGGGCGTAATCCATCCCCTTTATGTGTGTAGCCCTGCCACTAACCCACTCCCACCCCTTACCTGAGTGCCACTTAACTTTTCAAGTGGACTCTCTACGCAGGGCAGCGCCACCATGGGCATGCCCAGCACAGACTCAGGGCGCTGGGGTCGCACCGGTGGGGGTGGGGGCTTTGTCTGCTGGAAGTTGTTGATAACACACGTCACCTAGAGAGAGAAGAGAGAGCGAAGAAAGAGAGGGGATAAAGAGAAGCAGCAGTGGAGCATGTGATGGAGAAATTGGATTTTTAAAATGCTTTTGAAAGAAGTGTCTTATGTTCACAAAGGCTGCATTTATTTGATCAAAAATACAGTAA